TGAAGGTTTCTACATAGCTTCCGCCCTGCCCATTCCGGCACCCAGACTCAACATTGGGAACGGGCTCGGAACGACCCAAAGCTGAACTGTAGGAACTTATGAGATTTCGGCAGATTCGTTAGCTTTTAGCCACGTGGAGAGACGCCACCTTGCACTCCGCGAGGCTCCGACCTGGCCCAACGACATCGTGTCCAACGCCGGGAGCCCCAGTAGGCAACGCCCCGCGGAGGTCTAAGGTGAATGCGTGCTGTTCCAGGGGCACATCAGGCATACTTTTGGCAAACATGCCAGTTTGCCGTTAAGTTTTCAGTATTATGAATCCATTTTGTTGTATTTGATTGCCCATTCTTTGAAGTGTCAAGCTAGATCCCGACCAATCAAACGTAACGTGATCTGCTTGCCGACTATCAGGGCTACCCCCCTGCATTGGCTTTCTTGTTCGCTCCGTCAGGGCACACCCGGGCCCAGACACCTGCTCCAATGCCCAATCCCACGTGTTCGGCAAGGATCATGAGCCGCGCATGTTTCGTTTACGTCTCCATTTTACGGCAGACATTCCACATGGATGCGTTGCGACTCCATGAACAGCTCCACCCAACTGTTAGTTGCTCAGCCTCTCTCTTTTTTCCGGAAAGTCCATGGTGACGCTGGAAAGTGCATGGTAGCCTTGTTGTTCACCGGGTGCCGAATTGGGCGGCCGTTGTCAGAACCGCACCCGAGGTGCCGGAGGTCTCCGCGACGCTGCTCTGCGAAGGTGCCCGGGGCCCATGGCGCTAAGGCGCGTACCCTCTGATGCGTGGGGGAGGTTTGAATGTATACGTACACAAACATACCCAAACATACGTATATACGTATATATATATATATTGAGATATATGTGTACATATTATATATATATATATATGCATATGTGTATATATATATATATGCATATACATGCATACATGTGTAGATATGTATCGTACACGATTAACGTTGCATAACTCCTGGCTTGAAGACAAAGCAAAAGCTTCCGGACAAGGTTTCAGAAAACATTGACACAACTCCTGGCTTGAAACGACGATGGTCCGCTACATAAACCTCTTGCATCCTATATGTGATGAGGACATCTAGAAGCCGCTTTGGTCACTGTTCCAATCGGTTTACACATGCGTAGCCATATGCATATATATATATATATCCACACTCACATGTATATGTACATACACGTACACAGATTTCAACATGAATCTCATTTCTACATATATATGGTTTGCCTGTAAATTGTGGGGGCGCAAGATCTACGGCCTTGGGTGCTGCACGACAGTAGACCTTGATTGCGAGGTTCAATGTTAGCTGTATAACAAAGCGGCATAAGAGAAGCAAGCTTGGGGCATGAGTGGCCGGATGCAGAGAATTGAACGGCATCCTCACGCTCGATTTGGGCATGGAGTACCCGATTTCTGCAAGGAGGGTGTCTCGCATTGGACCAGGATGTTTGGGACACAGCTGCCTGCGTGGCTTGCCGGCTTAGGACATCTTTGTGATCATGGCCTGTGACGGGCCTGCAGCCCAGAGAGCTGGCGCGGCACGTTTGTGGCGACCGGCCAAGGGGAGGGATCACGTTCATACTGGTCAGGCTGGGTGAACGGCACAGGCACGGCGCAGAGATCAAAGCTGATCATTGCGAGCAGTTCTGTTCCATGGAGTTCTGCTTGTGAAGTATAGGGAAGGTGTTTGGAATCAGGAATTCGAGCATGGGTAGAGTATTGACCGTGTTCACTTTTGGGGTAGCAACAAGCTTGTGGAGGCCTGCTTGCAACCGCACTGAGGCTGTGGGATGTCATTGAGGATCAGGATGCCGTCAATCTTGTCATCGAGGGCATGCGCACAGCTGCCATGTGTTTTCCGGCCGACACGGAACGTATCAGCCCTTGCCCCTGCAAGATATTGGACAGAAGCTCCATTCAGAAATTACCCATGTCTGCAAGAAAGAGGAACCTGGCACTGTATCCACCCCAGGCGCAATGTTGCCTACGATAGGTCAATACGCCAGCCGCAGCTGACTTGTTTCAATCATGGCGAAGTAGTTTGCGGAGCGTGTAGCGAGAGAGCTCAGCGTGGTTTTGCCAGCGCGTCAAGCACCGTACGCGTGCACTTTATCGCGTTAGAACTCGGGCAGGCTTGTTACATGCCAGTTCTTTTGTCTGCCTGCTTGCTCTGTGGTCGATGCAGCTCCTTCTCGCCCTCTTCTTTCTTTGGCCCCTCGCAGCGGACCCAGGATGGAGTCACAGGCTTGCCGCAGGAACCTGTGATGTTTTTTTGTAAATCCTCCCGTTTGCTTTGTTGCACACGCTCAACTACCAACCCGCAAGTTGCCGGCCCTCCAGTGATCATGACTTGTCCCTTCCAACCCTTTCGGATAGAAACACATTCATAAGAAGCCGATAACTCACATTCTGTGTTGTCGAATGAATTTGTCAGATGTGAGATCTAAGCGCGTTGATCTTTGATAACCGGTTCATATGCTGTATCGAACAAGTCATGACACACACACACACACACGCAGACACACAGCCGCACAGACACAAAGACACACAGACACACAGACACACAGACACGCAGACACGCAGACACGCAGACACGCAGACACACAGACACGCAGACACGCAGACACGCAGACACACAGGCACACAGGCACACAGACGCACAGACGCACAGACGCACAGACACACAGACACACAGACACACAGACACACACAGACACACAGACACACACAGACACACAGACACACAGACACGCAGACACGCAGACACGCAGACACGCAGACACGCAGACACGCAGACATGCAGACACGCAGACACGCAGAGAATAGCTTGCACTTGTTTGATATCTTCTTTGTCCAATGCGTGAACTCCGGATGGCCTTGCCGATTGTTTTTGTGAGAACCCCTCTTCTCTTGCTGTGTAGACCTTGCTTTTTAATGCAAAGTAATCTTGCAGTTTGGAACTCGGCCAGAACAATTCGGCGGCCTCCTGGGCGAAGACAGCTGGGGCACTCAGGGTGGGTCTTCACCCTTACATTTCTTGAGGAAGCGAAGGCGAAGATTCGAAGACCTGGTGTCAAGACAGCGGAACCTGAAATAAGGTGGTTCTCCTTTTAGTTTTTCTGTCAAGCAGCCTGAAAAGGTTCCCGAGCCTCAGCCCACCACACCCCATGTTGTTGTTTGTCGTTCCGTGAAACAATGGTGTCCAAGTGATCTGCACTGCCGACTTCTTGGGTAGCCAGGAGAGAAGGCCCTTGTTTTGTGGGTGACATGGCTTTACCTCAGATAATTGAAGCAGACATTGAAGGGTTTCGCAAAGGCCCTCCCACCTCGTGACTCTACGTTTGAGGGCAAGAATTGGAGAATAATTTTGCTCCAGACCTCAATCATTGCTGAAATGAGGATTCAGACTTTCCTGCATTTGTACTTGTATCTATTATCTTTTGGAAAGGTGGATCAGCGATGTGTGCGAATGGCCCCCTAATTTTGAAAGGCATGCCTCCAAGAAGAGGCTGGATAATTCAAGCTTCTGGAGCACATGTCGGTTTGTCCTATTGTCAACTTAGGCCTTCGAAGACTGCACACCTCGCGAAAAGAAGTCTCCGTTTCTGGAAGAAACTCATGTTGCGTTGGGGGCGTGAGTGGAGCTTCTTCTATGGGGTGGTAGAGACATCCTGCACCGAAGAAAGTCAACAATCCATGTCTCCTGCCTGCTTGATGCAGCCGCGCTTGTGAGAGATCTTCGGAGGAGCCAGAGAGTGGCAGTCAGGATTGACCAAACGCGCACCGCAGCTTATTCTTTGCTCCTTGCGAAGGGATTGAGGAAGGTCCGCGCTGAAAAGCATAGGATCAGTCCTTTTGAGAGCTTGAGAGGATCCGGGATGGGGCCTACGAAGCGCCGTTTTTTGTTTTTGTTTTCCCCATTCCGGGCATCCCGGTGTGGGGTAGCAGAGACCCGTGATTGGGAGGATCGTGAGCTGCTTTGGCAAGGGCTTCATTCATGTCAAGGAGGCTTCACTTTTCCTCAAACGCCTTTTCAAGGCCGGCATGCTACTGTTGAATAGCAGCCAGATATCTTGGATGAGTCCCTATGCTGGATGTCATGTTGACAGTGCTTCGGGGTGCCAATGGCACTTATTACTGTTTTGCTGACCAAGGAGGCTTGCCCCACAAAGTTCGCTGGCAGAGTCTGACGCCTGTTTCCCCATGCACTCTGACTTGTCCGCAGATGGTCAACACCCCATGCTTGGGCAAGTGGTGGTCGGGATCCCAGTGGAATGCGTTGTGGAAGAGGTCTGGGGTGGAAGTGGCATTTGTTTGGTATCACAACATGGACAGAGATGCTCAAGCCCGGGTTTCGCATGACTGGAGGATGCTACATGCAGCTTGTTTTGAGAATTCGTGGGTTATAAGGACTTTGCAGTGTTGCCTTGTGCTGTGGCCCTGTTCCCTGCACTAGGATACTCGTCCGGGTCAGTGCCCGTTCAAGGGAAAATCGGGCAATCCTGGGCATTCCTCCAGTATGCAGACAGAATCTGACACCTTTGCAAATGGTTGGCTTTCTCTTGCTTGACTTTCGAGCTGAAGCCTGACACAGCCTTCTGTTATCACCTGTCCCAATTTGTGCAATTTTTGTCCAATTAGCTTGGACGAGTAGCTTAACCAAATGCCAAGCTGCTCCATGCCCCCTTGGAGTTTGTTGCCCACATCTAGCCTAACTTCTGCCAGAACCTACCCTCCTTCTCCTTGTGGTTCTATTCAGCACTGCCTTAGCCCTTTGTTTTATGTGTAGCAAGAGCAATTTCGATGCTGACACACAGCCGCGCACCAAACTGTCAGCACGTGGCAGCGAGCTGATGGTCATATTATGAAGTTCAGCGCAAGAGTTTCCTTCGGGCTTCCCTCCAGTTCCCTTTTGGTTTTCCTTTGGTTTCCCAATGATTTCCCTTCCCTTCGATCTCATTCGCTGTCAGGATTGTTTTCTACTGGAAAAAATGGACCCTCGGGATGCCACCGGATTGTCGCAGTTTGCAGCGTTTCCAAAGGCTAAAGTTGCCTCGTAACCTTAAGACGCGTTTTTTGCACATAACATGAGATTCGGAACAGTTGCAAGCAAGCTTTCCGCTGATTCCTGTGATTAGCTTCCTGCCAAACTTCAGTCCAGCTTCCCGTCGCCGCGTCCCACGGCAGACCAAAACCGCTTTTGGCCAGTTCCAGGTTTCATGCAGGCTCCCACAGACTAAAACAACTTTCCGGCAAACACAGAGGTCACACTGTCACACCCGTTCCCTGCAGGGCTGGCTTTGCGCTTGGCGCCCCCCTGTGGTGTTTTGCGGCCCGGAACCACCACAAAGAGGAGCTGATTCATACCCTAGTGGACCGCCTGAACACTTGTATGCTACACTGCAGCGCTACTAACCTGCCTCTCTGATCCGAGCCAAAGGGGAACATCTGGGAGTCAAGAAACTTCAATTTGTTTGACGAGGATCGGAAACACCCGGGACTGCGACAGATTGGGGCCTCCCTGACAGCCTCAGGCCCGCCTGCTCGTGGAGGAGGCGCTTGCTGGCCCCTCAGGAGAGGACAGGCCAGTCCCTGGGGAAGCTAGTAGCTCAGTTGATTGTTCGGTTTCCAGCCACGGGTCTTTCATTCGGATTGGCTTGTTGAAATCCAGAAACTTTGCCCTACAGTGGGCAAGCTCGGTTTGGAAATATAGCATTCCCTTGCCTTTGCGATAGCGCACAGTGTCTGTTCGACGCAGCGATTAGGAAAAAGCGCAGAGGAAGCACCAAACCATCAGGCAGTCATGACTGCGAGCATTCCGCCCCGGAGCCACACGGAATCCAAATAGGAGTGATACTCCATTCGGCAAGTGCTCGGAGGGAAGCGACGTTTGCGGTCAATGCAATTGAGTGGAACCAACCTGCCGGACCGCGGGCTTGCTTTTCCTTTGGCTAGGGTTGTGGTCCGCTCCAAAGCATCACTCCAAAGCCACCATTCAGGCACGAGGTACGTCTGACAACGTGACCTGCGTGGTTGCCGGTGGCTGAGCATGCAGAGTATCCCCAGCATTGGACAAAAGACTCGTGTTGCTGCGCAAGCAGTTACTTGTGGAAGTGTTCTGCGGAGTGATATTAAACGGGTTGGTCATCATTGGCCGAAAACAATGGAAGAACCGGAAGGCAAGGATAGAGGAGATTAGAGCAGAGAGCTTCTTTTATGTCTTTGCTGGAGCTCTGTCGCTTGATAGAACTTCCCGCTTGATAGAACACTTCCAAGGCGATGTCTTGTTTTCCTTCCGTCTGCTGGTTTCTTTGGGTTGACAACCTTCACTGGTGGCTTGGATTGCATGGTGGCCCAGACACATCATCCTAAGATGACAAATCTTGCGAGTATTTCATGCTGAAGACCGGTTGCAACGGCCAGTTGAACTCAGAGGTCAGGAAGAAGAAGGATACGCTACGCATTGAATTGGGGTACCCTACTGAGTCCCCCGTCAGTTTTTCGGATGAACTTTTAATTTTCAACTTTCTATTTTTTTGGGGATCAGCCACCTGTAGTTAATCAGAAGGTGGGGTAGTGGGGTGCAATTTGGCTGGGTTGAATGTGAAAAAGGGGGACTGAGGGAACCCCCTGTGTTTGGGCTCGTCTGCCCGAGTTCTCCATAGACATTCTTCTGAATTTCTGCCTGTTTGCAAGTGAAGAAGAAAGCTGTGAAGCTGGGGAAACCTGGTCAAATCACATCAAATCTTAGTAAACAAAATGTGGATAACTGGCCCATTCCCAGAAAACTTGCCAACATTGGAATGCACTGAGGCAAACACAAGCAAGAATCAGTTGGAGGGTGCCTGAGTCCTGCAAAAGCATAGGACTAGTTCTGAAGTCCGCCCTTTTGATCCAATTTTGATCCAGGCGCAAGGAGTCCACGAAACGATCGAAACATTCAAAAGTGATGGGACAGTTGGTCAAATCGCATCAAGCCCATAAAACAAGAGAAAACAGTGCCCTGCTTGATCTTCGCCGAAATGAGTGATTAAAATGGGGGGGTGGCTCAGTTGTAGGGGTGTGCCAACATGTTTGGTTGCCGAGGGGCGGGGGGGTCTGCCCAGACCAGCCATGGCAATTGAAGGGACCGCAAAAGGACGACGTCACATTGTGTTGGTTTCTTTATGCATTGAGGCTTGTCGAATGGCAGACGCTGAACAGGCCTCACTCCTTGGATCCAACCCATGGGTTCGATGGGTTCGGGTTTCTGAGGTTTCCAGCTCTGTATCGAATCTTGTTGGGCGGGCGTTGATTTGATTTCTCTTTTTTTGGTGGTCACTTCGATTCAGCCACAGGCCATTGTGGATCGGCCCGTCCAGATGCAACAATGTTTTGTGGCCGAAGCTCTTGAGTAGGTCGAATCAGGCCAGGTGGTTGTCCTGTCCTGCATTGTTGTAGCCCCGCTCCACCTGCCGAGGTGTTTCCTTGACCTGCAACTCGGCAGGACTTGTGATTACTTGAGTCTTTGACCAAAGGAGAAGTTTTGTAGTGTTTCTCTTTTTAAGGTGTTTCTCTGGTAGGACAGGAGTGCCCGCTGGTGCTTGTAGCCTTTGTGGGCTCCCTGAAATCCTGGCTGCACTGCCCAAAATTGCATGCGCTTTGCCATGCATTTGGCAATGTGCCCGAGTGCACTCGGCTGCATACTCAAGATGTTCTTGCCGAGTGTTGCATGTGTCTGACAGTGCATAGCAGCGTCGTGTGCGGTCTGGCTTGTCACACCCAAATTCGTGCCATAATCATTCGCTGCATTGAACAAGTTCCGTCCTACCAGAGTGGCTTTTGATCTTGGAGCGGTTTCTCTCGTCAGTCCTTGGCTTGGCATCTGGTGGCTTTTTGTCCAGAAGGCTCTGCGTCTCTCTTTTGTTTGCTTTACCCTTCCCCAACTGGCCACCCATTTCCGCCCAAATCCATCTTTTCCGTGAGGGCTGAAACCAGGGAGGGGTCCCATAGCCCGTAGATCTTGAGAGAACCCCGGGCTCGCAGCTGGGGCACATGCCAGAAGCGCCCAGGAAATGCTGCCGGAGTTTCGGGGGACCTTTGCACACCGTGCGAAAACGCAGCGGAATGCGGCGCTCGGTCGACTCTCGGGATGATCACGTGTCCGCGAGAGCGAGCTATGGAACCGGCAAGTTCGCAGGGTATGGGTGAAGGAGGTGTGGCCAGCTGCCATTTGCGGTTTTGGAAGTAGGCAACAACCTGGGCCATACCTCTGGAACCAAGACAGGCGATAGCTCCTGTTCATTTTCTATGGCAGTGGTTGCAGTAGTGACAGTGCTCTCTGGCAAAATGCTAACGTGGGTCCACCCCCTGAATTTGTAGCTTTCCATCACACCTCCATTGTATTTGCAAGATTGTCCCTGAGACGCACACGCCACCTCCATCACATGGTGCCCAGCTGTTGTGCACACATCTTCATGTTCCAGGGATTCCTGTGGTTGCAATGGTGACAGCGGTGGCAGATGCCACATATGTGTCTGCATTTTCTCGCACAGGCACACGCACAGGCACACGCTCACGCACACGCCCACACACACACACGGACACATAGACACAGAGACACTTAGACACAGAGACAAGCACAGACACACCGTCACAGACACACAGACACACACACACACACAAACAAACACAAACAACACACACACACAGAGACAGACACACACACACACAAACACACATAGACACACCTGCAAACAATCACAGACTCACAGACACACAGAGACACACGCAGACAAACACAGACACACACACACACACACAGACTTGCAGACACACAGACACACACACACACACAGACACACAGGCAGACAAACACAAACACACGCACATAAACACAGACACCTGCACATACAGACACACAGACACACAGACACACAGACACACAGACACACAGACACACAGACACACACACACAGACACACAGACAGACACACACACACACAGACACACAGGCAGACAAACACAAGCACACGCACACAAACACAGACACACTCCCACAAACAGATATACATATATATAGATAGATAGATAGATAGATAGATAGATAGATAGATAGATAGATAGATAGATAGATAGATAGATAGATAGATAGATAGATAGATAGATGGACACACGCAATCAGACACATACACACACGCACACTGCCGCAGGGTTTTGGCTACCTTTGGGCCCTCCGTGCGCCGTTCAGATGAACCGCGGAGGCATGGCTGCGAACATTTTATTGCACCTCACTGGTAGTTCAAGAACAAGCGTTTTGCGTGTTGGGACTCTGCTTTGGACAGCTAGCGGTGTGTATGTCATGGGCGTGTCATTGACGTTCTGGTAGAAATAGCCAGAGCGCCGATCCAGTCAAATCTATCCCCTTTCCCGCTCATCCATTCATCCATTCATCCGACACAGACTCGTTCCTGCAAATTGATTCCTCCTTGATCTGTGGCGAATTTACGGTCCTGCATGAGTGCATGAGGCTCAAAGCATAAACCCCCCAAGGTCATGAAATTCCAGATTTGGGGTCCAGACAGTGAGACAGTGGGGCAGAAGCGAAGCTGGAGGGCAGCCATCGGAACAACGGAACGGGGACCTTTAGAAGTTGCAAGAGTCGATAGAATAGTTTGAGGCAATCTGCGCTGCATGACATTGTGTGCCTGTGCGTTGCATTCCTGGACCCCCACCATGGCCAGAAGTTGCACCCACGGCATGGAAAGCTGAGAGGCCATGTACCGGTCGCCCATGGAGCTGAGGGACCTGGTCCAGGTGCGGATCTTGGACTTTGGGTCATACTAAGTCATGCTGTTTTCAGGAAAGAGGGATTCAAATTATAGAACTCTTCAAAGTAGGTGTACGGGCTGCACATTTGAGACACATTCGGGTTAACGGCCTGTTCTTGATCTTACATGACGCTGCTATTGCTGTCCTTGGAATACCATCAGTTTTGAGTTGTTGCATTCCAGAGCTTCCGGGCCCCGCTTGTGTGTCACTCTGTAATCCGGGATACGATCCCTGAGCTGAGTGGCGCACTTGAGCGAGCAGAGGGTGTCAATGACTTTACTTCGTGCTGTACATGCTGCCCTCCCGCCCGACCCCTCCCATTCGGATTGGTGCAGGGTTTGCTTGGAGTGTCGAGGGTTGATTTAGAACAACTGAAGGGTCCATTGAGGTAGGGTTGGAGGTGATTCAACTTCTAGGGTGAAATCAGGGCTCTGGGTCACGCACAAGAATTGTCAAAGAACGATTTGTTCCGCCCGGGCGCACACGCACCGCACTGAAACCCTTTTGCCATGTCCAGGACATCAATGTGAACACACCTTTGCTCTGCCAACGTGATGTCTTATCCAAAGCTAGGTTTTCCATGGTTTGAGTGTTAACATTTTGACTTTCCAACTGCGTGACTAACATGTGGTGCGATCATGCTCAACTCAAGACTTCACTTCCCGTCGTGCGAAAATAGTGCTATCATGCTTTAGCTTAAAGATGGATCATTGAGGGGTCATCACATTTGCCTCGGATAAGCCTTGGGCAAGCCTAGGATTGAGCGTAAATGGGCAAACACCTTGTTCAGGGGTTGCTAGGGCCACAGACCTTCCGCTTCATATAGCACCCTTCAAGGGCCCAAGGGTCCATGACCGGGTCTGTATGAACATCATGCGCCATGCAGAGGGTTTGATTTGCAATTCAACGGCCCTTTCTTTTGAGGCATCTCTCGGATTGACCAATCAGCAATTGTCACTGCCACTTCTCGCGCATGCATTGACAAGCATGTCAGCCATTAGGGGGTAACTGCCTTCCCCCAGAAGCGAGAGGGATGGCTGAAAATCTTACACTTGCTCAGACTTGAACTCGGCTTGTCTCTTGTCCGTGAGGTCTACAATGACAAGAAGGACAAAGGCCAAGGCCCGAGGCTCAGTTTCGGCAATTCATTGCATATTGGTGGGGAGGGTGTCAATGATTGGGGTCCGTGAAATGGGTACTCAGACCTGTGTCCAGCTTTCACCCATCCAGTGTGCCGAAGCAGAGCTGTTGGAGAATCGTAGCATGAACTACCTGACACAAACTTGGCCCGTCAGCGGCCAATTTCCACGTTGACGTTTGCACGGTCATGTACTGCAAGGCCATGTGCACCAAGTTGCGCCTTCCTTGCAACCGATCTAAGCACCTTGATGAGGCGGCATATTCCTGCTTACATCCCCATATCACACGCTGGGCTCGATGCAGGTCCACTTCTAGAGGAATCTTTTGTTGCCTGCTTTTGGGCTTCCATGGTAGTTTCCAGCGATATCCATTGATTCACAGCATTCTTTATCTCAATGAGGCTTAAAACAGCTCGAGACTTGAGCACGGTCATCCTTCAGACCGAGCTATCAAGCCTTTGATCCTATTGTCCCAAGGGATGGCTGCGTGACTGGAGCGAATCCACATCCGATTCTTCAGTCCTCACTTGTGGACTGTATGCCTTACCTTCTTCCAGCAGTATAGTCATGGAGGCAAACCATTTTCAATGCATTGGCTGCTCATGTCTGGGCAGCTGGTTCACGTTGATTGCTCCGAGGCCCCGAATGCGACTACGGCTTCAAGCTGATCATCATCGGCGACGCCGGAGCAGGTGTCTCTGGGTCGCGGACGCTTTCAATTGTCTTAACCCACTTCTAACACCAGTGCTTAAATCCGCACGTTGGTCTCACTTGAGAGCGGCATGTTGCTGCGGATTGAAATGATTATGTTGGGGGCATGGGATGATGACACAAAAGTGTACTGGTAGGCACTGGTGGGCGCTGATGCATAAAGTGCCCGCTTTGACACTCACTCCATCCGCACTGGCCCCTCGCGAGGGAAGAGCAGCTTCATGCACCAGTTCCTCGAAGGGAAGTTCCGGAAGCAGTCCACGCACACGGCCGGGTGGAACGAGTCGCCTTTTCAATCTACCGGGTGCTCCTGGTATGTGTGCCTACAAATTATGACTCAGCCATGCTGATCAGGAATACTGATCAGGAATGGATCTGAGAGTTGAACCTTCTACCTGCTGAGCATATCGCCAGTTTTCCTTGTGCGTTTGTTGGCCCGAGCACATTGCGCGTTGGCACCCAGCCTTCAGCCGCTCTGAGCACTCAAGTGCAAAGCCCCCACCGCAGCATGCATCGCTTAGGTCCATGAATCCGGGTGCGCAATATGGTAACATGTTTCACAGAATAGTTCTACAGGAACTTCTACAGGAAAAAATGATTTGCTTAGACTGGGCTTATGCAAGCCTAGACTGGGCTTATCCAAGGCTTATCCAAGGCTTATCCAAGGAGTATCAAAGCTTACAGATCATCAAAATCGGGGTCTCAGAAGGGCTTGTCCAGAAACGGGGGATCTTGCCGTACCTTTGGGCAAATCTCCAGGAAGTTAAATTGGGTAAAAAGGGCTTATTTTAGCTTTAAAAAAAGGCTTAGC